ATCTCTAGATATCAAGTGAAGGTACAGTTTAATTTACTGATTTTGATGAAGCTCCTTTAATGATTAATCTGACCATTAGAAACCTGCCCAGTGATTATTTTTCCTTGGCTTGTACATATTTTTGCTAAGAATAAAGTATGTTTCTTGTGCCCTAGATATTTTGGTCTATGTTAGGATATTTTCAATTTAAATGCAGGGGTTGTTACCTAATGTTCGATAAAAGAAAAAATATACTAAGAAGCTGTAATACTCTAAACTAGTATATGCCTCATAGAATGTCTAAATGTATGTATATATATAAAGTAAACATTTGCAAAATTAGGGGAAATTCATCAAAGACATAATCATTGTGGGAGATTTTCTTCTTACTAATGAATAAACACCAATTAAGAAGAGAGAGATTTGAACAGTGTTTGAGAGGGATTTAGAAAAAAAAGAGATAGAAATTTTAAATAATTTAACTCACAAATTTTAACTACAAACACATGTAAATCCACATATATATTTGGAAACTGAGTTTATGATAGAATAAGCTAATAGTTTCTAAACTCTGTGCTGAGGTAACATGGGGCTCCACAGTGACCTGAAAGGGACTTTGGGATATTTTAATTTTGAGAGAGATACAGGCATCTCTCATCTTTCAGACACCACAGAACTATTAGATCTCAAGATAGTCCAAAGTTTAAACACTTAAATAACACTACATTCCTTTCTACAATTACTGTATCTAAGAGTGAAATAATTTTTTCTTTTAATTTATTTGTTTTTCTTTTCTCTTTCCCAAATGACTACTTTGGCTTACACTGTGGACTGAGAAAGTTTGGGAACCTTTGGTATAAAGCAAATGTCAGCTAATTTCAATGTATTGTACATACCTGTTCTCTGACCACAGTATAATTAAATTAGAAATCACTGAATGAAACAGTAACAAGAACCTCATAGTTGTGAATGTTTTAAAGCACTTCTGAATATACTGAGCATCAAAGAAATCTTAATGGAATATAGGAATACCTAAAAATGAACAGTAGGAAAACTACAGTCAGAACCTGCAGAACAGAGTTAACGTGGTAATTCAGGAGACAAATTTATAGCAAGTCGAGAGAAGGAACAACAACAAAATACTAGGAATTTAAAAAGTCATGTTAATTTAAATGTAGCATAAATTTAAAAACATGAGTGCATCAGCTAGTTTTTGCTGCATGACACACCACTCCAAGCTAAGTAATTTGAAACAATAGTCATTTTATTCCGCTAACAATCTTGTGGGCTATCAGAGTGGGTTTTCTGTCATAGGCCAGTTCAGCTGTTTTCTCCTGGCTTCCCTTACTGTTTCTGGTCAGCTGGTGGGGTTGGTTGGTGACTAGATGATCTAGCATGTCATGTAACTTGACTGGGACTTGGTTGTTGTCCATGCAGTCTCATCCTCCACTGGCTCAGTGTTCACAAGATGGGTTCAGGAAAAAAGCAACAAAAGAGAACCTGTCTCTAATGTGTAAGCACTTTTTAGTCTGTTTGCTTAATGTTCCATTGCCAAAGCAAGTCACATAACCATTCCTATAGTCAGTGCAGAACTGGATATGGGAAGGGAAATTATTGCTGTTTTTGCAAACAATCTGCAATTTAAATATGAATAAACTTATGCATATGGGCAAGGCGCAGTGGTTCACGCCTATAATCCGGGCACTTTGGGGAGGCAGAGGCAGTGAAATCACTTGAGGCCATGAGTTTGAGACCGGCCTGGACAACATGGTGAAACCCCATCTCTACTAAAAATACAAAAATTAGCCAGGCATAATGGCACCTGCCATTAATCCCAGCTACTTGTGAGGCTGTGAGGCAGGAGAAATGCTTGAACCTGGGAGAGAGGTTACAGTGAGCCAAGATTGTGCCACTGTACTCCAGCCTGGACAATAGAGCGAGACTCTGCCTCAAAAACAGAAAACAAACAAAAACTTAGGCAAATAAATTTGAAGAGTTAGACGAAGTAGGCAGTTTCTTAGCAGAAGAAATGAATTTACCCAGCTGACTCAAGAAGATAATAACCTGAATAGATCTTAAAAAAAAAAATCAAAGAAATTAATATCCATAGCTAAAAATTTAACCTCTCCCATCCCTCCTGTAAAAGAAAAGGTAGTCTTACTGGTGGAACTTTGGCAGATATTGAAGGAACAGGTAATTCCAGCCTTGTTAAATGATTTCAGAGAAGGTAAAGAGGAAACACTTCCCAGCTCATTTTGTGAAGCTAGCCAAAACCATGACCCCAAGCAACAGACCAAGATAGTCTGAGAAAAGATGCTTATCAGCCAGATTTCACTTAGGAACATTGAGGAAAAGAAATCCTAAATAAAATATTAACAAATTGATTTCAGGAATTACTACTTTAAAAAAATTATATAAAGTTTTGTTCCAGGACTTACATGGATAGTTTAATATTAGAAAATCTATTCATTTACCATACTTACAGATGAAAGTGGAAACATATATCCATTTCAGTAGATGGAAAGAAGCACAATTTGATAAAATTAAGCACACATTCATGGCCTTTAAAGAAAAAAGTTCTTAGCAAGTTAGGAATAGAAAGGAGTTGCCTTGCCAGACAAAGGGTATCTACCAAAAAAGACAGCACACATCCTATATAATGATAAAATGCCATCCCCAGATTGGAGCTCTGTGTATGTAGGAAGCTTTAGTTGTATTTATCCTTTATATTGCTTCTATTCCAGAAATATGTGGGAAGGAAGCATAGAGGGAGTCAGATTCCTTAAAGACCTCTGGAAGCTTGATTGTTCAGGCTCTGGAAAAGTTAGAGGAAAATAGAGTCAAAGAATGAAATGAGTGTTAAAATCATTTGGGGGTGGTGGGATTTAACTTGTCAATAAACTTTGTTAAAACTTTTAAAATGGTTTAAATCCAAGAGATGTTAAAGTGTTATTTATATGTTACAAACCATAGAATATAACTAATTTTTAAAAAATTTTACACAATTTCAAATTTGTAGTTTGAGGTTTACAGTTGTGAGAATAGTATAGAAACATAATATATCCTTCACTCAGAACCCAGGTTCCCTAGCATTTTTCATATTTGCATTATTATCTTTATATACATTTTTTCCTTGAACCAGTTAAATTGTAAGCATGATGCCTCATTTCCCTTAATACAACAGTTTATATTTCATAAAAACAGACACTTTCCCAATATAAGTACACAGTACACTTGTCTAACTTAGGCAAAAATCTACCATTCAATCCATAGAACCAATTTAGATTGGTTCCCAATAATGTCCTTTATAAATCCAAGATCCAGGGCCAACATCAGACGTGACATTTAGTTGTCATGTTTCTTTAGTCTCCTTCAATCTGGAACTCTTCCTCAGTCTTTATCTTTCATGACTACATTTTTGAAGAATACAGGCTTTTTCTTTTCTTTTCTTTTCTTTTTTTTTTTTTTTTTTGTAGAATGGCAGACTTGGTCTATTCTGGCTTTTCTCAGGTTATTTATTTAGGTTAGGACTACCACAGAGGTTATGTTTTATTAGGACACCAGACCCCAGGAGGCACACAGTGTTGATTTGTTCTTTACTGATGGTGATACCTTTTGTCATTTGGTCAAGAATGTTGTCTGCCAAGTTTTCCCACTTTAAGTTAATGAGTATTTGGTGGGAAGCCACTTGAAACCATATAAAATATCAATGCATGGATTTGAATGTTTGTGAGCTGCTTTAATTTTAAAACATTTTAGAATTAGTTAAGTAGTTACGAAAGAAGTATGCTAATACAAGTGGAAATTAGTAAACTACTAATGTTTGACATATATATTGGCATGCAGATAAGCATGTTTCCATATATGTACAGAATATGTATCTGAATCTTATTTTCTAATTTATGTGAATTTTAACATCAATAGTAATGTCTCTTCAGTAACTTTTCTGTTATAATCAAATACTTTCTAAATATGTCAAACACTAGAAATATACCTTCTGAAATTTTAAATTGAAAAGGATGTTAGACATTATTTAGTCTGTTGATCTAATTTGCATTAGAATTCTGTAAAAAAACTAAAAACCTAGAGAAAATTGGGGATTTATCCACAGTTACATGTGTAAAATGGCACAGGTTATCATTACACACAATTGAAGTTCAGTGAAATGTAGAAATTGATTTGCTAGTAGAGAATTCTTGTTTGTAAAAGCCAGAGAGCAAGAGTTTAAATCTGAAATGATGGCAAGTAGGCAGCATTTATGTTAATGAATTCCCACTCCTCACACCCAGCAAGCATAGGCAGACCTTAACATTTGAGCATTAAACTCTTTTCATTAAACTGGTTTCCTAATAAACTGCTGCAGGTAACCATTAGCCATAAGTAGATGAAAACCAGCATGCCAGTTGAAATATATTTGCAAGACTTTATAATAATATTGCATCTCCAAATTTAAATCTTTCCTAGAGATTAGGAGGCATACCAACATGGTCAAAACAGTTGGTGCTGGCTGGTGCTCATACCTGTAATCTCAGCACTGGAAGGCAGGCAGATCACTTGAGGCCAGGAGTTTGAGACCAGCTTGGCCAGCATGGCAAAAATACATCTCTACTAAAAATACAAAAATTAGCCAGGTGTGGTGGTGCACGACTGTAGTCCCATTTACTCGGGAGGTTGAGGCAGAGAATGGAAGTGAGCTGAGATTGTGCCACTGCACTCCAGACTGGGTGACAGAGCAAGATTCTGTGTCCAAAAAGAAAACACAGTTGGTGCTTAATGAAGTATGTGTCGTGTGTGTGTGTGTGTGTGTGTGTGTGTGTATAAAAAAGCAAGCCAGGTAATTTTGTAACCAAAGCCAGAATGTGACCCTTGTCATTGGTTTGCAGTATGCACATTTAATTCATGTTATCCTTATGTGTTCAGTATTTGTTCATAATTGCCTAATAAAGTTGAAATAGTTTTAATGGATTTTTTATTAACAGCAGTCTTTATGACTACTTAAGCATTTATTGGTTGCCTTTCAGAACAAAAGAGATGAACACTTACTGAAAAAAAGAAATGTTCCCCAAGAAGAAAGTTTAGAAGATTCAGATGTTGATGCTGATTTTAAAGCAGTAAGTTACCATATTTTTATAGTGACTTTAAAATAATTTTATAGTAGCTGGGAGAACTTCATTTTTAATATAAGACCAACTTTATAATGACAAAGTATATTAACTCTAGGCTGGGTGTGGTGGCTCATGCTTATAATCCCAGCACTTTGGGAGGCCGAGCCAGGTGGATCACCTGAGGTCAAGAGTTCGAGACCAGTCTGGCCAACATGGTGAAACCTCATCTCTACTAAAAAATAAAAAAATTAGGTGGGCGCAGTGGCAGGTGCCTGTCATCCCAGCTACTTGGAGGCTCAGGCAGGAGAATCGCGTGAACCTGGGAGGCAGAGGTTGCAGTGAGCCGAGATTGTGTCACTGCACTCCTTCCTGGGAGACAGAGCAAGACTCTGTCTTTAAAAAAAAAAAAAAGTATATTAACTCTAACTTTAGCAGATACACTATTTAATGAATGTAATTTTGCTGAACTATGTTTTTTCTTCTTTTTAAGCAAAATGTAACACTAGAAGCTATATTGCAGGTATGTTATTAATTTAATATTCTTATTTTGAAGTATTTTGAAATTGATTTTTTTTTTTCATTTCTGAAATTTACATTTGGTATTGCAGAATGCCACAAGTGATAACCCCGTGGTCCAATTGAGTGCTGTCCAGGCAGCAAGGTAAATACTAATTTGTCCAGAGAGAGAATTATGTCATACCTCAGTTGTGTTACCTGGTAGTTAAGAAGTTAATACATTGTTAATTCTTTTCACAGTTTGAAAATTATAGCAATTAATTTCTTATATTTATTTTCCTAGAAAACTACTATCCAGTGACAGAAATCCACCAATTGATGATTTAATAAAATCTGGGATTTTACCAATTCTAGTCAAATGTCTAGAAAGGGATGATAAGTAAGTATGAATTTGACTCCTTATTCAGTTTTTTTCAGTTAACTTAAAATTTTGGATTATTATGTAACCAGTGAGTTCCGTTTGGTTTTGTACTTATGATGTTTTTCAGTTGTCATATATTTTAATTGAATTTTCTTATTCTGTGATAAGAAAAATGTCTCTCTTTTTTGTTTCTGAAGGATGTGTATGTTTTCTAGGAAGTTTTTATCTCCTGTTTATTACCCGATTTAACTTAAATATTTATAGTCTTTGTTAGGATTTCTTATTAGTAATATTTTAGAACAACTCAAATAATGTTTAAGTCACTCTTTGCTTATGAGTCTATATATAGATTAACCTTATGTCTAAGTCAACATGAACGGTTTCCAGAACTAAGTGGCTCTTTCTTACCCTGGGAATATTCCAGCTGATTACTGATCTTCTGTGTGTTCTTTAACAGAACTTCATCCATGATAAGTTGCCCAATGTCAGACTTTTTGTTTGTAGCAAATTAAGAATAAGGTGACAGGTTTTACTTACCCGGAAGAGAAGGAGTAAAACTCCACTTGGTATCTTTTGAGGAACTGGCCCTATTTTTTTTTTTTTTTTTTTTTTTTGGTGGTATCTCAGTGCTGTGCCTTAAACTTTGTTAATTTAAATTAGCTGGGGAGAATATGAGTTTGAACTCCAAAATATATTAAAACAGATGCTTTTTTGCATTTAAAAGCATCTATACTGAAACTGGACGACATTTAACAAAATATCCCAAGCTAAATGTTGTCCAAAGAATTTTCAGTTGGCTAGATAAGAATAGTGGCATATAAATGTTGCCACTAAAATTTTTTAGTATTTAAAAAATATCATTTGCTTTCCTTGTGTGCCACAACCTCTCCTACTCTCCAACCCCAGGCCCTTAACACTGTTAAAAAATACTATCATGTTTGTTTTCTATAACAATGTTTAAGTAAAGGTAAGTTTTGTTTTAGCTGTTGAAAAATAAATTCTGGCTGGGCATGGTGGCTCATGCCTGTAATCCCAGCACTTTGGGAGGCCAGGGCGGGTTGATCACTTGAGTACAGGAGTTCGAGACCAGCCAGGGCAACGTGAAAAAATCCCAGCTCTACACATACAAAAAAATATGAAAATTAGCCAGGCATGGTGGCACATGTCTGAGTCCAAGCTATGTGGGAGGCTGAGGTCGGAGGATTGTTTGAGTCTGGATGTGGAGGTTGCCATGAGCTGATATTGTGCCATTACTCTCCAATCTAGGCAACCGAGCAAGACCCTGACTCAAAAAATAAATAAATAAATTCGATTCTACTTCCACCTTTAAGGCCCCCACTTTTTTTTTTTTTTTTTTTTTTTTTTTTTGAGACAGAGCTTTGCTCTGTCCCCCAAGTTAGAGTGCAGTGGTGCAATCTCAGCTCACTGCAATGTCCACCTCCCAGGTTCAAGTGATTCTCATGCCTCAGCCTCCTGAGTAGGTGGGATTACAGGTGCCCACCACCATGCCCGGATGATTTTTGTATTTTTGGTGGAGGCGGGATTTCACCATGTTGGCCAGGCTGATCGCAAACTCTTGACCTCAGGTGATCTGCCTGCTTTGGCCTCCCAAAGTATCAAGATTACAGGCATGAGCCACTGAGCCCGACCTAGGGCCCCTTGTTTGTGGCCAACTTCCCTTCTTTTTTTTTTTCTTTTCCTTTTCTTTCCAGGCTTTCATATAGAGTTATTTGTGTGGGTGTGTCTGTGAAACATAGCATATATAATATAGAAAAGTATGCTTAAATACATATAGCTTAATGAATAATTATAAAACACAGACCTCTGTAACCAACACCCAAAGCAAAAATAGAAAATTTTTCTTGGCTAGGTGCGGTGGCTCATGCCTGTAATCCCGGCACTTTGGGAGGTTGAGGTGGGCGGATCACGAGGTCAGGAGTTTGAGACCAGCCTGTCCAACATGGTGAAACCCCATCTCTACCAAAAGTGCAAAAATTAGCCAGGTATGTTGGCAGGCACCTGTAATCTCAGCTGATTGGGAGGTTAAAGCAGGCGAATCGCTTGAACCTGGGAGGCAGAGGTTGCAGTGAGCCGAGGTGCCATTATAGGCAACCTAGGTGACTAAGGAAAACTCTGTCTAAAAAAAAAAAAAAAAAAACTTTTTTGTGATTTGGATCTGACTTTATGGATTTGTCATGGAAAGTTGTGTTATAATGTAAAAGACCATATACTTTGGAGCCAGATTGACTATGATTCAAATCCAGGGTTTGCTGTTGATGAAAATCCAAGTGGCTTTTGAACCTCAGATGCCTTATCTATAAAAATTAGGTGATGGTAAGGAATGGAAATAATACGTACAAAGCACTCTACACAATATCAAGCTTATAATAAATGTCCATTTATTAGTATTGAACTCATTTATTTTTTCTATATCTTATTTTCTTTTTTTCACATGACATCTTGGAAGACTTTCTCTGTCTTTGTAATTTTATTTTTTACATTTATTCGTTTCCTCATTTAAGGCCCCCATTCCCAGTATTTTGCCAAACCACCTAACCACCTTAATAACTTTCTCCTTCCAGTCTGAGGCAACATATACTATGTTACTATTTTTGATCTTACTGTTTTTTTTAACTACTTCTCTGCCTCTGATATACCTTCTTATTACCTACCTTCTGCTAGAATTCATCATATACAGGGGAAATTTTTAAAGTTTGTGGAAAAGTGGAATCAAAAGATAATAATAAAATACATAACTATTTCTCAACATAAACTTCATCAAGGTCAAGACACTTTTGTAAGTGATACTACCAGCCATTGTCTATCCCTAAAGAACTGAAGGTCCTAGGAATTTAACCGTATCAGTGCAATCTCTTTCATGCTATTAACTGAAGAAAACTAGATGCCTTTTACAGATTTTTTTAAGATTAGGAAACAAAAAGAAGTCAGAAGGAGCCAAATCAGGACTGTAAGGTGGATACCTAACGATTTCCTATTGATGCTCTGGAAAGTTGCCCTTGTTTGATGAAAGTAATGATCAGGAACATTGTGATGGAGAAAGAATCTCTGGTAAAGCTCTCCCAGCCTTTTTTCTGCTAAAGCTTTGCCTGACTTTCTCAAAACAGTCTCATAATAAGCAGATGTTATCATTCTTTGCCCCTCTAGAAAGTCAGCAGGAATAATGGCTTGAGCATTCTCAAAAACTTTTTAGTCATTACCTTTGCTCCTAACAAGTTCACTTTTGCTTTGATTGTGCTTTTCCTCAGATCATACTGGGAAAGCCATGTTTCATCTCCTCTTAAAATTCTTTGAAGAAATGCTTTAGCATCTTCATCCCACTTTTAAAAGTTTTAAAATTTTCACTGAAAGCTCTGCTATGATCCACAGCTTATCTGGGCACAATGGTTTTGACACTTAGCGAGTGGAAAGTTTGCTGAACTTTAATTTTTCATCATAATTGTGTAAGTTGAACCAGTTGAGATGTCTGATATTGGCCATTGTTTCTGCTGTTAATCAACAGTCATCTTCTGTTAGGGCAAGAACAAGATTAATTTTTTCCTCAGAAATTAATGTGGATTGTTTGCCACTGTAAACTTCATCTTCAACATCGACTTGTCCCTTCTTTAAAGGAGTTAACTGTTTGTAAATTGCTGATTTCTTTGGGGGCATTGATCCCATAAACTTCAGCACATCAGTGATTTCACCATTATTTCACCCAATGTTCACCATAAATTTGATGTTTTTTGCTTTAATTTTAGCAGAATTCATGTTGCTCTCCTAGGGGCTCTTTTCAAATTGATGTCTTCCCTTACCCCTCTTAATGTCTCAAACTAGATCATGTTCAGACATGTATAGGAAGTTAGTATGAGTTTATTTTGGTGCAAAAATATTGAAATCCATGCTGTTTTTTCATAATACATACTTTTCATGAGCTTTTTAAAGTCCCCTCATAGTTATCTGCTACTTCATTTTCTCATATGTTCCATTTTTTAAAACCTGTATATATATTCCATCCTCACTGCTTGCTGTATCGCTGACGTTTATTCTCCTTAAAACCTTTCATTCTTGGATCTCTTTAATGTTTTTTCTTTTTTTTTTTTTTTTTTTTTTTGAGATGGAGTCTCACTCTGTCACCCAGGCTGGAGTGCAGTGGTGCAATCTTGGCTTACCACAACCTTCTCCCAGATTCAAGCGATTCTCCTGCCTCAGCCTCCTGAGCATCTGGGATTACAGGCACGCACCTTCATATCCGGCTAATTTTTGTATTTTTAGTAGAGATGGGGTTTTGCCATATTGGCCAGGCTGGTGTCAAACTCCTGACCTCAGGTGATCTGCCTGCCTCTGCCTCCCAAAGTGCTGGGATTACAGGTGTGAGCCATGGTGCCTGGCCTTCTTTAACATTTTGATACTAACAACCTTGCCTGCTCTCCTCCCTGTTTATAGACTATTCTTCAAACTCCCTAACCTTTGTCTAATCTTAACTTTTGCTGTTTAAACTGCCCCCCAATGTTGGTATTCCACTTAAGGGAATTTATACTCTTCTGGCTATCCTAACTTAACGTTTCCTTCATGTCCTTTTTTTTTTTTTTTTTTTTTTTTTTTCCCCCTTGAGACAGGGTTTTACTTTGTTACCCAGGCTGGAGTGCAGTGACACAATCACAGCTCATTGTAGCCACAAACTCCTAGGCTTAAGCAATCCCCGCCTCCTCACCCTGCCTAGCCTCCCAGGTAGCTGGGACTACAGGTGTGCACTACCACGTCTGGCTGATTTTTAATTTTTTGCAAAGATGGGGTCTCACCATGTTGCCCAGGCTGGTTTCGAACTCCTGGGCTTAAGTGATTCACCCGCCTTGGACTTCCCAAAGTGCTGGGACTACAGGTATAAGCACCAATGTGTCTTTTAACAGTTCTCTCCTACATCAGCCTTTAACCTTTTTTAGCCATTCTGCATACCATTGATTCCAACATTATTTTCTTTACTCCCCTTTTCAGTGCCCCCTATCCGTAGCATATCTGTAGAATACACTTTTCACTCTCATCCTAAAACACACACACACCCTGTTATTTGTTTGCTTCTTAACTTCAGCTCTCTTGATCTAATCCTTGTTGTTCCTGCACATCATTATCCTTCCATGCATGATACCTTTTTTATTTCCAACTGTCAATGCCTTTCTTTTTAAATCCTCTTTGAAAAGCTAGTTCAGTTGGCACTTTCTTTGTGAGGTCTTCCATCACTATTCCAAAATATAATGATCCTGTTTTTTTCAACAAAATTATGCAGCCTTATAATATATCCAGTATATAAAGCAGATGGTGTAATGGAGACAGAAGGGGTTCTAGCTTTAAGACCAGCCTAGAGGATGTGATAGTAGTTCAAGTGAGATGATAAAGGCCGCAGCTAGCACTTGATATTAGGGGTGAGTCTATAAATGTAAGAAATGTTTAAGATGTAAAATCGACATGATGTATTGATTAGATGTGTCTGTGGAGAGGAAGTTCAAGTCAAGGGAAATAATGACTGGCTAAATGTTGCGATACCAGTGGACATAAAGAAGCAGGTTCGTAGTGACTGGCTTTGGGAGCCAAAGAGATTTTTTAAGTGGAGATGGCTGCTGGGTGTGGTGGCTCATGCCTGTAATCCCAGCACTTTGGGAGGCCAAGGCAGGCAGATCACCTGACGTCAGGGGTTTGGGACCAGCCTGGACAACATGATGAAACCCCATCTCTACTAAAAATACAAAAATTAGCTAGCTGTGGTGGTATGCATATGTAATCCCAGCTACTTGGAAGGCTGAGACGAGAATCCCGTGAATCCCAGAGACAGAAAGATGGCGCCAAGATAGTGCCACTGCACTCCAGCCTGGGTGACAGAGAGAAGACTCTATCTCAAAAAAAAAAAAAAAAAAATAGAGATGGGTACAGGCAATTGGATTATAAAAAGGTGAAATTCAAGGACAAGGCAAAGGGTAGCCATACCATATCAGTCTTAAGATTCATAAACTTCAGTGATAGTTACGTGTCTAAAAAGATGTCTTTTTTTTTTTTTTTTTTTAAACAGTCCTTCATTACAGTTTGAAGCTGCTTGGGCATTAACTAATATAGCATCAGGAACTTCTGCACAGACTCAAGCTGTTGTGCAGTCTAGTAAGTAAATTAAATTCCTTATTGTCTGAACTTTTATTTTTTAATAATGGCAAGGAAGTAGTTTTGTAATGAAGACTAAATTTTATCTTGTAACATTTTGAAAATGACTTCTATAAGTTACTTTTGATGATAGATATCTTTTTATAGCCATCATTAATTTATCATTAAAAATTTTTAATTATGGTTACTAAAACGAGAGTAGAGTTTTATCTTTTGGAGTAGACATCATGCTCTGATAACAGGATTTTAAATTTCTGTTTCTAGTATCTTCAAAATGCTAAATGGTTTCTGCCTTTTAGCTTATGACATATTTAAAATTTTACTTTCCTTAAGATAGGCTAATAATTATTGTTGAATGAAACTGACACAAGCTTTATAGAAAACTGCTTGATATTATCATGTACATTGTTTCTTATAGTGTGGGATACTTAGCTAACTTTAGGTGGTAATCAAGGTAATTTAAGTAGTATGTGATATGGCAGTAAGTTACATTGAATTATGTATTAAGAATACTATTCTCGCCAGGCCACGGGTGTCTCACACCTGTAATCTCAGTATTTGGAAGGCTAAGACAAGCAGATTACTTAAATCCAGGAGGAGTTCAAGACCAGCCTGGGTGACATGGCAAAACCACATCCCTACAAAATATTTAAAAATGAGCTTTGCACGGTGGCGTTTGCCTGTAGTCTCAGCTACTCGGGAGACAGAAGTGAGAGGATCGCTTGAGCCTTGGAGGCAAAGGTTGCAGGGAGCTGAGATTGTGCATTGCATTCTAGCCTGGGTGACAGAGTGAGACCACGTCTCAAAAACAAAGGCCAGGCACGATGGCTCACACCTGTAACCCCCATACTTTGGGAGGCCAAGGCAGGCAAATCACAGGGTCAGGAGTTTGAGACCAGCCTGGCCAACATGGTGAAACCCCGTCTCTACTAAAAACACACAAATATTAGCTGGGCTTGATGGCACGCACCTGTAATTCCAGCTACTCTGGAGGCTGAGGCAGGAGAATCACTTGAACCTGGGAGGCAGAAGTTGCAGTGAGCCTAGATCACACCACTGCACTCCAGCCCAGGTGACAGTGTGAGACTCCATCTCAAAAAACAAACAAAGAAAAAATATTCTCTTTCCATTCCTTTTCACGTGTCAATAAGAAATGTCAGGGAGAATGTTTCCAGTTAGGTGCTAGTTGTTTAAAAAAAAATGGGGAACAGGTTTTAGACTGGGGCTTTCAGTAGAAACTAGGAAGTATAATAAGAATGTTTTATTTTCATTGTTTATTTGTTGATTACCTTTTGTTTGTAAGTGATATCCAGAAGTGACAAAGGAATTTAGTTAAAAAGGTGAGTCAGTTGAAACCCTCATATATTGCTGGTAGAAATGTAAAATGGTATAGCCTCTTTGGAAAACAGTTTCTCAAAAGATTAAAGAGTTATCATATGACCCAGCAGTTCTACTCCTAGGTGAAACCAAGAGATAGGAAAACATAGCCACACAAAGACTTGTACACAAATATTCACAACAGTGTTATTCATAAGTAACCAAAATGTTCATTAACCAACGAATGATAAAGTGAATGTGGTATACAATGGGATACAATTCAGCAATAAAAAAGAAGTACTGATACCTGCTACAACATGGATGAACCTCGAAAACATTATGTTAAGTGAAAGAAGCCAGATTCCCCCATAAAACACGTACAGTATGATTTCATTTGTATGAAATATCCAGAATAGGCAAATTATAAAGACAGAAAGCAGATGTTTAATGATTGCTTGCGACTTGGGGAATGTGTGGCAGAGGAACAAATGTGGAATGACTGCCATGAGTATGGGATTTCTTTTGTAGTAATGGAAATGTTATAAAATTAGATTGTGGTGATATCCTCGCAGCTCTGTATAAATATGAAAGATCATTGAATTATACACTTAAATGTAAATGTTATTATATCTCAAGCTGTTAAAAGTGAATAAATTTTAATATAAATGTCAAGTAAATAATACAGATAATACACAGATACAGCAAAAAAAAAAATACTAGAGGTAGTACACAGTTGATTAAAATTTTTTAAAAGTGATATCTAGCTTATGCTGGCAATGAGTATAAATGTTTAAATGTGAAGAGTAAAGATTATAATAAATCATTTTAAAATATAAGATAGACCTGATTTGAGATTAATCAGTTCTTTGGTTAATCCCATATCAGGAATTGAGATTACATAGATTAAAGCATTACATTTTAAGGTTTCATGTTTGGGATAGGAACTCTTTTTTTTTTTTTTTTTCAATGGATTATAGGAAGGATTTCATGCTGCTGCTTTCTTTTAGCTAATGACATAATAGCAACCTTTAGATACTGCCAATTGGTATCTTACTTAAATATTACTAGGGGAAAATACTGAAATTGATTCTTTTTAGGGTAAAGGTATTTGCTACATTTGTTGTTCTAGCCAGCTATAATTGGGCAGCTATAATATACCAGGCTCTGTATTTTATCAGTTTCTTTGAGCTGAAATCTATGAACTCTTTGACATGTTACTAGTATAAATATTAGTTTTTCTTTATTACAGATGCAGTACCTCTTTTTCTGAGACTTCTTCATTCACCACATCAGAATGTTTGTGAACAAGCAGTGTGGGCTTTGGGAAACATTATAGGTAAGTGGCAATTAGGTTTGAAAGGACTCTAGTTAAGAATCTAAATTAACTTTTCTTCTACATTGGCATAGCCATTACATACTATGTTTCCTCTGAATTTAATGTGGGTTGACTATCTTCTTGCCTCATAAATACTAACTTAAGATGATACTCTTTGAAAAGGATATACAATTTGCTGTTAGCATTGGTAGGTTAAATTTATGTTCCCCAAATCAAAATCTGGAGAAATAACACTTGATGCCTTTGCCTAATGGTGAGGAAACATAGAACGTCAGTGTTCCCACATGAGCCATTGCATACATTTCAGACTTTCTCATCCTGAATGTAATTTTTTTTTAAATACAATTTTCATTTCTGTAGGTGATGGTCCTCAATGTAGAGATTATGTCATATCACTGGGAGTTGTCAAACCTCTTCTGTCCTTCATCAATCCCTCCATTCCCATCACCTTCCTTCGGAACGTCACATGGGTCATTGTCAATCTCTGCAGGAATAAGGATCCCCCACCGCCTATGGAGACAGTTCAGGAGGTAAATGAAGAATTGTAAAGGCCAGATGGTATATTTTCCCTATGTTTATACTTCAGGAAATCATGTACAGGGGACAAAATAACACCTTTACCAATTTCATTGCAGGTGTGAGATTTTTAAAGTAATGTACCATATTTAATTACTGACTCGTATGAAATAAAAGTTGAAAGAATGTCAGTTCATCCTAATGCTTATTTTTTTATTGATTACCTTCATAAAAAGAAAACAAAAAATTCAAAGAGAAAAATATAAAAGGAAGACAATCTCAAAATTTTATTACTGTATTGCATTGTTGGTTTAAAGCTATAAAAGGTGGTTGCTACAGGTAAAACTAGTATATTTATATGCAGATGTTCTTGAATGAGTTTGCTTTAAGTCCAGATGATTTCTTTTCTTTTCTTTTTTTGTTTTTTTTTTTTTCCTTTTTTTGAGACAGTTTTGCTCTGTTGCCCAGGCTGGAGTGCAGTGGCATGGTGTCAGCTTGCTGCAACCTCTACCTCCCAGGTTCAGATGATTCTCATGCCTCAACCTCCCAAGCAGCTGGGATTACAGGCCAGTGCCACCACACTCAGCTAGTTTTTATACTTTTAGTAGAGACAGGGTTTTAGTATGTTGGCCAAACTGGTCTTGAACTCCTGACCTCAAGTGATCCACTCACCTCAGCCTCCCAAAGTGCTGGGATCCTACGTAACCTTTATTCACTGTTGGCGGTGTTATCTCTATCTTTTTTTTTTTTTTTTTTTTTTTTTTTTTTTCAAAGTCTCACTCTGCTGCCCAGGCTGGAGTGCAGTGGCACAATCTTCACCCACTGCAACCCCTGCCCCCCGGGTTCAAGCGATTCTCATGTCTCATCCTCCCAATTAGCTGGGATTACAGGTGCACACCACCATGCCAAGCTAATTTTTGTATTTTTAGTAGAGATGGGGTTTCATCATGTTGGCCAGGCTGGTCTTGAACTACCTCAAGCAGTCCACCCACCTCAGCCTCCCAAATTGGTGGGATTACAAGCGTGAGCCAGCACACCACCACACTCGACCAACTGTCTTTCTTTATAAGAGACATCTTCAGCACCTGCTACTTTTTGTCGCTATGCAAAGGTATTTAGTGTGATTTCCTACTACCCCCCCACTCCCTTCCTCTGGGATTTTAAAAGCAGATCTGAGGCCTGAATTCAAGAAGCAAAGTTTGTACTTTGTAATGGTTAGAATTTTCTTGACTAAAGCTTAAGTTGAAAACTTTAACTTAAGTAGTTTTATTAAGTAAAATCGTGTTTTTACTTTAAGCAGGTAAGTGAGACAATTATGGCAGTTTTAAGTGTGCGTAGCTTTTTCTTAAATAGCTATAACTGTATACTTGATCTCCGTTTTTTCCACTTGACATTTTATGTCATAAAGAAGGTTATTAAAAACAAACGTTTTTCTTTTAAGGTGCATTAACTTCTGTCAGATTTATTTGGATGTTTTAACTTGTTAATTGAATATATTTTAGTTTAACATTTGAAATATGTTTTTAATTTTTTAGATTGAATTTATCAGATTTTCATTTTCCTAATAGGTATTCAAATAAATTTAACATTGTCTTTCTCACCCTACAAACCATATTTACTGCCTTTTATGTCAAAGTTTTTTAGTTTTACAGACATATTCATTAACTCTAGTGTTAATTATTGTTTATCTTACTTCCCCAGATTTTGCCAGCTTTATGTGTCCTCATATACCATACGGATATAAACGTAAGTAAAGAAGCAGCTTAGATGGGGATTTTGCTCTTGTTGGGACTGAAAGGGTTTTTGTATAAGTGTTCATGTACATTTTATCAACTTACCAAGTTTCTACAATGTATATATAGTTTTCAGAAGTAGGATTAAGTTTAAATTAGGTTCATAGTTTCAATCTGTAAGCTGTAACAGCCAGCCAGCAAAAAATACTCCCTTTTGAGAAATTACTACATACGTAGTTTATTTGTATCATTATTAAGTAGTGTTTTTAAGCATTAATGTTTGTAAAGCAGTATAACTTTATGAAGCACCTTACTTTTTTTTTTTAAATTTCATTGGTTCTTACAATAGGTAAGCTAGATATTACCTCCCCCACCTCTGCCGCCCGCTTTTATAGAATAAGAAGAAACAGAGCCTTAGAGTGGTTAAATGTCTTAAGTAGAAGAGCTAATAAGTGTCAGAGTCAATATTCAAACTGAAGTCTTCTCACAACAGGTCTTGTGTACTTGTCACAAAACCATGTTGCCTTTTCATGCTACAACCTTTTTGAGTATAGTATTGAAGAATATATAGTTTTAAATGCAAGGCATTTTTAGGTAATTTTTTCATTATATTTAGATTTAGTGAAGCATTTACTGTCTACATTCTAGCAAGTTTGATACTATCTAGGCAATCTGAAAATTCTCCTAAATATTGCGATAAGGTAAATTGTTACTTTTCCATGGAGTAAAAACAGTGGATAAATTTCAGTGACTAGTGTTGATCCAGTGTCTGTTATTCTAACTAACATCTCTTTCTGATTTGTTGTATATTTGTGTTTTTGTAATCTTATCTTTGTTTACATACATGTAACATGTACATACATATGTGTATATGTGTGGCAGAATTGTGAATTGTGTGTAATTTATCATTGGGACAAAGAAAATACATTTTTGCTTACGTTTCTCACAAGGTAATGTAGTTTGTATATAAAAATTGAATCATGGTTGGGTGCAGTGGCTCACGCCTATAATCCCAGCACTTTGGGAGGCCAAGGTGGGCAGATCACCTGAGATTGGGAGTTTGAGACCAGCCTGAGCAACATGGAGAAACCTTGTCTCTACTAAAAATACAAAATTAGGCAGGCGTGGTGGTTCATGCCTATAATCCCAGCTATTCAGGAGGCTGAGGCAGGAGAATTGCTTGAACCTGGGAGGTGGAGGTTTCGGTGAGCTGAAATCTTGCCATTGCACTCTAGCCTGGGCAGCAAGAGCGAAACTCTGTCTCAAAAAAAAAAAAAAAAAAAAAAAAAAAGAATCACATTATTTTAGCTCATTTGCAGATTTTAAGCTCTTAGGATGGAATCTTTTAAAAGTAAAGTGATTTTTTTGTTTGACACAGCCTAAAATGTCATTAAAATGAAGTAAAATGTGTTTATATATATGCTGTCTTATTTTCAACATGGATATAAACTGACTTAACAAAAGACATATAATATCTGTAAAGGAAAAAGTAAAATTATACAAAAGTTTAGTTGTAAGGTTTCTGACAGCAAAGATTAAGAGGGGAATAAGCAGAATATCTGTTGTTTGCCTCAGGACTTTTCCCCAGAACATTATAGAATTAATTATAGGCAAATAAAAGCTTTCATCATCTATTGCTTGTGTTTATGTGAAAGCCGGGTTATTAAATGGCAGTGTACTATAGTTACAGGTATATTAGCCAAGTTTAGCAAACACTCACAAATTGTTCCACTTAAAGCCAGAATTGTGCCATGAATTGTACACTCAACGATAACATATAAAGAGATCGTGCCCTCTAAGACCTTAACATTAAAAATGTAGAAAGAGTAAAATGAATGAACTTATGTCAAGAAATTGCAGTACTGGATCTCTTTCTGTAGTCTCTTTGTACCTTACCCCAGTACCCTTGTAAGATAAGTTTTATTCTCCTGTTTTACAATACGGAGATTGAAATCCAGTAAAGTTGAATAACCTTTTAAGATCATACAATGAATGAGAGCCATACCTGAGAATTGAAGCCAGGTCCAAGGCCTGTACTTTTTCATACCATGATCACATATTCAGTATGATCCACAAACTCACAGTGAAGAAAAAAATCATACCATGAGCACATAAACATGAAACATCGTATGAAAGCCAACAAGAAAACAAAAATACAGTAGAGGAATGATCAAAGTGTGCTATATCATGGAAGCACAGATAATTTTGTCTGGCAAAGCAAAAAGCTTCATTGAGGAAGTAACATTTGAGATGAGCATTATAAGGAGAAGGAAGTGGGGATGGAGTCAGATTATAGTGTTCATAGTTAGTATTTATTGAGTTTAAAATGTGCCACACATTGTTGTAAGCACTTTTAATATATTAACCCATTTAATTCTTAAAAAAGTCTTGTGAGATGGTACTTTCATTATCTCCATCATCTATAAATATTGTAAAAGAAGCAGAGGTACTTAAGTAATTTGTCTCATGTCTTACAACTAAGATAAGTAGGATTTTGACAGGTTGAGAGAAAGTCATTTCAAGAACATGGTGAAGATATTAAGGACTCAAGAATACATGGAGATTTAGGAGAATACAGGTAGATGATAATCTAACACATTTGCTAAGGAGTTAATTTTCAGTCTTTCTTTTTCCCTTTTTCCTTTGTTTTTTTGTTTGTTTTGTTTTGTTTTTGAGATGGAGTCTTGCTCTGTCACCCTGGCTGGAGTGCAGTGGCATGATCTAGGCTCACTGCAACTTCCGCCTACTGGGTTCAAGGGATTCTCCTGCCTCAGCCTCTCTAGTAGCTGGGATTACAGTGCACGCCACCATGCCTGGCTAATTTTTTGTATGAGTTTTTGATTCTGTATTAAAGAGTTTTAGGTTTATCTTGTAATGAGTGCAAAGTCATTGCAGACTTTTTAAATTGAGAAATGGTATTTCTGTTATATACAGATAAAATTACCTGTAACAGACAACGCAGAAAAGGTATGGAAAGCCTGGATTGGGGAATGTTTGAATGTAGGTAGGTGTATTTTGCTATCATAATAGGTTTAAGGAAGTTGATGAAGGCATGAACTATTATTAAATTGCAATAATAGGAATGGTTAAGGGAGAAAAAACTTAGAGTGTTGGGAAATAAAGTGAGTAGAACTTGGAATTTGTTGTTCTTCAGTGGCCATATTTTCCAAAAGCAAAAGACAATACAGATTTTGGATTTGTCAGTATTTAAGGGATTGATGAAAACATGCGCATTGAATGAGATTGCCTAGGGGAGGCTGTATTTCAGAAGAAGGGCTAAAAATGTAACTCTGAGGAATTCGCAGCATTTGAGCAATGGCAACAAGGGAAGAAGAACCAACAAAGGAGTTTTTAAAAGTAGTGTGATGATGTCTGGGCACGGTGGCTTACACCTGTAATCCTAGCACCTTGGAAGGCTGAGGTGGGCAGATCACTTGAGGTCTGGAGTTCTAGACCAGCCTGGCCAACATAGCAAAACCCCGACTCTACTAAAAATAGAAAAATTAGCTGGGCATCATGATGCATGCCTGTAATCCCAGATACTCAGAAGGCTGAGGCAGGAGAATCACTTGAGTTGGGGAGGTAGAGGTTGCAGTGAGCCAAGATCACGCCATTGTACTCCAGCCTGTGCAACAGAGCAAAAGGATGTGTCAAAAAAATAAATGAAAGAAAAGAAAAGTAGTATAATAGAAGCATAAACTAGAACAAAGGGCAGGGAAAAAATAAGGCAGAGATTTAATAGAGTATACCACATTAAGACTCACATATCCTTTTTATGTAGCAGATAAGGAGCCAAAGAATAAATGGTCAAATTTTTATTTTGGATTGATAGTGCAAACTAATTGGATCAAGTATAGATTTTATGGGAGACTGGAGTTGGGAAGGCAGATTGGTGGTGGTTTTGTGGTACGGATAAGAGAAAATTAGGACCAATACTAGAGCTGAAGCATAAGGAATGAAAAGGCAAGGGGAGACTTGAGAAATGCTTAGGTGATAAATTTGCTGAGTTTGCTGTGGGTGGTGATAGAAAAGAGTCAAGGATAATACCTAGCTTTCTAACTTGTGTTTTAGAGTAGGAGACAGCAGAAAATAAGAATAGCAGCAGGGAGAGATATAAAGCAACAGGAATGAGTTAAGAACGTATGAGCTGGCTGGGCGCCGTGGCTCATGCCTGTAATCCCAGCACTTTGGGAGGCCGAGGTGGGCAGATCATGAGGTCAAGAGATAGAGACCATCCTGGCCAACATGGTGAAACCCTGTCTCTACTAAAAATACAAAAATTAGCCGGACGTGGTGGCACGTACCTGTGGTCCCAGCTACTTGGGAGGCTGAGGCGAAAGAATTGCTTGAACCCAGGAGGCGGAGGTTGCAGCGAGCCGAGATTGCGCCGCTGCACTCCAGCCTGGCAACAGAGCAAGACGGTGTCCAAAAAAAAAAAAAAAAAAAAAAAGAATGTATGAGCTGATGACTAGTGAGAAAGCTGGATTGGCATGTTGGAGAATAATTCTGGAGACAGTTAGATGGGTTTTGGACTTTAATCTGCCTGTGTGACATTAGAAGCAAAAGTAAATATTAACCCAGAGGACTAGAGGAGAAATCTGGGCTGATTAGGTCAGTTTGTGTTCATGGTTTTCTAGTTGTTGTGCTGCTTAAAGATAATTTGTAGTTGCAGTCATTCTGTAGCATTTGGTTTTCTGGCCCTTTTTGAAGTTGTTCATCAAAGACTTGCATTGCGTAGACAATTTTGATTATCAAGCTGATATAAATCTAGCTTATTTTACTGGTAGTACAAATGAAATTAATCTGTTGTAGCAGATTGATTATGTGCTGACACATGATCGTTGGTAGCAGATGGTGACAAGAGTCCCTAAGACCACGTTTGGGTTTGATTATTTGCTAAGTCTCACAGAATTCAGAAAAGCTGTTGTATTCATGTCATTACAGCAAAAGGATACAGGTTAAAATCAACAAAGACTAGAGGCAGATAGGGTGGAGTTCAGGAGAAACCAAGTG